CTAGCATGTCTAATGCCTCACACGGCCGTAACAGACTGGCTGGCTTCAGCCGAGCCTCCCCGCCGCCTCATCTGCGGGGACTGTCGGTGTTGATGGAGTATAAAGCAAGCTGGGTGCTTAGCAGGTCTCCCAGGTTGTCGTGCTTTCCAGTGCTCATCAGGGCGACCATCCCGCAGTGAGCTTGTTAGCACTCCTTAGCCTACCCTTGGGGCCGTTGTTTATCTGTTAGCGGTCCTTCCTTCCCCCCCTGGGGAGGGGGCTCCAGCGGCTGCCTCGGCTGCTTCCATGCGCCGCTGGTGTGAGGGGGCCGGGGAGCGTGCACGCAAACTGGTCCTCCAGTGCCCCTGTCAGGGAAGGCCAGCGTGAAAAGGAACTAGTACCAGTGGAACAGTAAAAGGTAGGCCCGATGCTCAGGAGATGGGATGTTCCCATCCTTTTTCAACGTCCCTTTCAGGGATTGCAGTTTGTAAAATGAAATGGGCTGCGTGCGAATTCTGCAGTGCATTGCTGTTAACAACTCAGGTTTTTAAGTTGTTAAAGCTGCCAAGTGGTTAAATATAATATACTTATTTTGTATGTTAATAAGCTACTTGAAATATCTTACGGCCCCCCCTTACTTTCCTGAAAAAGTCTGCCCTGGCTTTCATGTCCTAGTCACCTGTTTTGTCTTACACAAGTTCAACATTAGATTGGGAAAAAAAAAAACAACTGGCGAGCAATGATTTAATGAACTCCGTACTTGGAGAGGAATGTATTTGAAAGCTATTGATCTGAGCTGTGCAATACAAAAAATAAAAAACTCACTGTGTTTATGACTTCACAAACACTGAAGTTAGTCTATCAGTAGCTAAAAGTCTAGGCAAAAAAAAAGCTTATCATCTTTAGTTATACAATGGGCCAGATAGATTTTTTTTTTTTTGGCCTCAAAACTCAGTGTTGTACCTTTTTGTCCTATCGATAATTAAAGTTTGTAGAATTGGAAAGGAGCCTCTGTATTACAGTAAATAATGGTTATCTTTGGGTTCTTCTTAATGAAGCCAGGATTTGATCGTGACCTATTTAAAAATAATCATGAAGCTTTTCTGTATGATTTACAGTTTCAATAGCTGTTCTTCAGAAGTTGCTGCTTCACTGATCACAAATTATAAGAGAAATAAGAAGGAAAGTTACTCTCCCAAAATGTATGCGAGAATGACTGTGAAAAGTAAGTATGAGAGGTCAGTGTCAGGGTTGTAAGTAAAAAAAGTCTGTCAGGTTTTTATGGAGACCTGTGTGAACTCAGAGAATTATTTTCTAAAGAGTAGTCTGTCTTAATTGAAAATACAATTTAGTTATTCAGAAGCCTAAGCAGAGAAAGTTTGTCTTTTTCTACAACTCACCTATAAGCGGTTTCAGGATTTGATTTCCTAATTATGTCTGTATAATTCCCAGAGTGACATATGTTGCTCTATGACTGTGAATAAGCATTTGAGGGACATAGTAAATTTATTAGGTCAGGTTGGACGGGGCTCTGAGCAACCTGATCTAGTTGGAGATGTCCCTGCCCACAGCAGGGGGGGTTGGACTAGATGACCTTTAGAGGTCCCTTCCAACCCAAACTATTCTATGGTTCTATGATTCTATCTCCATCTTGTAGAACTCTTGCATTAACAGGTTTTTATGGCAGTCCTGTTTTAGCAGTCATTTTGCTGGCAGCGCAAAAATGTAATGCTTCGTGACAATCTTTTTGAGCTTTGGTAACTGTAATAGTAGGAATGCAAACCAATTCTGGTATTAACAGTGCTAAACCAACAGAGATTTTAGGTTAAGTTTGGTGGAATCCAAATTTTATTGGTTACTTTGTGCTTATGACTATACAAAGTAGAATGTTGCTTTTGAAGGAGATATGAAACCTGATAAACCTGTGTTTTGTGCTTTGAATTTAGAGGTCAGACTACTAAGAAGTGTAATGTGGTTAGAGGCATTGCTTGCTTTATGTAGATTATACTGTTTGCTTATATGAAAGCCCAGTTGGATTACCCAGGACAAAACTAATGGGCAAGAATGAGGCAACTCTCACAAAGAAAGTTTGATCTCTTTACAAGGAGGTTGGCAATTGAAGAAAATATCTTCTTGGAATATTAAAATTCTAAAAATACTTTATCTATTTTAAAACTATGAACATATTGTCAAATACCGCTGTAAACGTTTTAAGCAAACCTGAGTAGAATTTCCACTGAAAATTTATTAATTTCAGCTTAATTTCTGCTTAAAAAACTTAAGGGAGTTTTTAAGATCTTAGTTACACTAACTACTACTGCCGTTTAAAAGAAGTCTTGAGTATCACCTTTCAGGATTTAATACCGAGGGAAAGGTGTAACTGTTAAGAGGTAATAGTTCTTCAGCAACTTAGCTACATTAAAGGGTTCTGTAAAGCTGTCAGATATACTTCGATGATGGTGTGCATAATGATTAAAATAGTGTATTTAAGTCCTATATGTGCTCTTTTAAGTAAAAATTCAGGGGCATGTGCTGGTAAGAGAAACAGAATACGGGTAGTGTCTTCTTCCATGCAAACAGTAGAGCAAGCCCCTCTCCAGTCCTCTGAATGCAACTTTATCAGCTCATCCATGTGCCTGTGGGGAAGTCAGCTTGCTGAAGCGTGCCATGTGATTCCAAATGTAAGTTGTAACTAGCAAGAAGTATTGCCTTGCCAGAAATAGCTGTAGAGATAAACTAGGAGGAGTTAATACGACCCAACTGTGGGTATTTGACTTAACTAGCTAAATGAGCCAGCTAATCTGCCTAGGCTCCATCTGTAATAGGGAGACAGTCCTCCTTTCACTGTACTAGCTTTGGCGTATGTCAGATTCTTTCCTGAGCTGATGTAACTCTCTAGCCCAGCAAAATACTCTGTAGTTAAATCAGCTTATATCAGGTCCAGGATGCACCAGACTAGAGCATGGTAAAGAGCAGGAGTTTATGGCTAGGAGAAGGTGATATCCTGGTTTTGATGGTGGTGGGCTGAGCCTGGGATGTAAATTACATAGGACAAAGACATTGTACATAGGTGCAAATGTAAGGAAGCCATAAAACTAAACAATGAGTTTGCATTGTCAGAATATCGCCTCTTTTAAAACACAGTTAAATTGAAATCTGTAACTAATGCAAGTTCCATTTTTGTTCATGGATAATAAAAATGCTGTAATTTGTGTCACTGCTAACTAACCATTTACTGTCATACTGTTTTTGATTAAGAAGTGTAAGTGATTTTATTTGCAAATAATTAATGCAATCTGAAGTTTGTACCACCAAATTGAGTCCCATCTTTCTTACGTGATAAGGCATTGGAAATACGAAGAACTACTTAACTGCATTCTCTGTAATTTGAGCTTGTCGTGGTTTAACCTCAGCCGGCAACAGAAC